GAGCAAGCCATCCTTGAGACTCCTTCCGCTGAGGTTGATGAGCCATTGGACTATTGATTTTGCAAGTTTCGGATTCTGTTAGGATTTCTTGCTTTTCTTTTCCTCCCTTGATTTGTAGTGGTCTGGTAGTTTCTTTTGCTTTAACCCCGCTTCAGCCTTCACTTAATGTTTGATGTAGCAGATCTTATTCGACTGTTTTTCATTTTGGATTATGAGACCTTGGATTTAATAACTTGACTGACGTTAAGTCTCTGTGTCTTTCTTCTCATATTTTTCGAATCGAATTTAACCATTGGTTTCATTCAATTTCAATGCCATGAAGGCAAACTCAGGCCCCTGCGGCTCCGTTTGGATGTGGGAAAATAACTTGGAATTTAGTTAGAAGTCGAGAATTTAAGAGAAGAAATTGACAATTATCTTATTTGGCAATTTAAGCATTTATTAGATGGCATGTAGAAAAAATCGTAAAAATTGGGGCATCAAATTTTTGAGTTTAATTTCCACTGAAATAGGTGTCATTTCAGAATTTTTATAGTCTCAATAATAAAATTACGTCATTTATAAAATTCGACATACATAAATCCAAATATTGAAATATTCAATTGTCAGAAATTGAAATAATTGATATCTAAATTCTGTCATTTTAGAATTTTATGTAATTTTCAATTGTTTTATCCAAATGGAGGGTAAAAGTAGAAAATTTAAGATGAGAAATTGACAATTTCCTTGTTAACTTAAATGATGTACGGCAAAAATAAGAGAATTTGGGCATTAAATTCCCTAGTTTAATTTCCATCAAAATATACGTTAATTCACAATTTTTATAATGTCATTTATAAAATTATATTCAATTGCTAAAAATTAAAGTAATGAAAATTTAAATTCCGTCATTTTAGAATTATATGTATTCATTCATCCAAACGGTAAATATTTTCTCAGCAAAGAAAGGTGTACATATGAAATGGCAAGAAAGTCCTTTTCAAAGAAACAAAAACAAAAACGAAAAAACTGTCTTGCGGGCTCCACCTCCAGCCTAGGCTTGAGCTTGGGCCAAAATAGCCCCCATGGAGCTGAGCTCCAGCTGGCCTAGGTCCTAAATCACCTCAATAGAAGCCCTATTTGACCATTTTGGGCTATAACCAGCCTTGGCCTGGGCTAAAAGTGTCCCACTAGCATCACCACCTCTTTCAACCTTGCCATGTGTCTTACTATAGAATTCTACAACTAACCCTAATTCCTAAACCCTAGTTGGCATTGATGGTGTTATATAGACTTGAACTGGGTTCATGTTCGTACTAAATATACAAATTTATAAATAAACCCAATCCTAGACATGTATTTATAAAAAGACTAAAGCACTATTTAAACATAGAAACACAGCCAAAATCAACCCCAAAACCAACTTTTTGGGTGTGTTTATAAATGGGTTTTGAGTGTGTGTAATGATGAGTTTTGAGTGTGTTTATATGTTTAAATAGTGTTTGAGTTTTTTTATAATTTCAACCTCCATTTTGGGTGTTTTAGTGAAACTCCCTACTAAATAATGGTATCGACAATTTATAACTAGACCCGAAAATATAAAATTGATTTAGCGTGAAGAGCCGGTGTTAATTTGTAAGACACGTGTTAGACTTTAAAAGCGGTGGTGATGCTCCAGGTGGTGTGAGCAAAATTGCTCTCTCATTTAAATACCTCTCTTATTCTTCCCACGCAGCATCCTTAGTGGCGACTTTGCAAATTACCAATTGCAGAACGCGAGAGAGAGAGAGAGTCGGCAGGCAGCGCACAAATAAAAGCACAAGACATTGTTGCTTTGCCTGTAGAGGAAGAATCAATACTCATCGTTTTGGCTTTTAGGGCTTGAAATTCTGTTCCACCTTCGACTTCATGGTGAGTCCGACTTCAATTTTCTCTTTCCTTTCCGTTCTCGTGACTGTGGATTGATTTTGTCGCTCAAATTGATTAGATCTTATTACAATCGGTCTGTGTTTTCGCTTTTCAATTATTGCAAACTTGTTTCTATGATTCGTTGCTGGTTGGTTGCTGAGAAAACTGAAAGTTAAATATAAGATGAAAGTTGAATGTTGAATGTTTTCACTCTTGGATGACAAAGTGAGTACTTTAAGCTTAGATTCTTAGCGATCTGTTTGACTCATTTTACACTTAATTTCCGCTTTCTTGTCTCTCTCTTTTTTTCCAATTTTATGATATGAAGACCCTGACTTTATTAAATACTTATTAGATTTTTTTGTCTTTCACTTGTATTGTATGCATACCTGAAGTTTAATACTCATTAGTGTTTTTTTTTTCTTGTCATCATTGTAGTTGATTTGTTGGGTTAATTAGGAAGTAGCCCACTAAAACTTATTGACTTGTTGTCTGCAGGCTTCTGTGGTGGCATTTACAGATGATGCGGTTCTTCCTGTAAGTCTTGTTTTTGATGCATTGAAGGAGCTTGGGAATGGAGCTACTGATAAGTGTGAACCTCAAATTATGACCGAAGTGTCTTCTTTAAGTAAGTTTCTTATTCCTCTTTGTTCTTTAATGTAGTAGCATTTCGTTTATTGTTCCCCCCTAAACAATGTAACCTACAAATTTGTTTATATCTGTTATAAGTTGGGTAATAGGTATCCAATTGAATGACCATTTAACTTATAGCCATGTAGTAGTCATGTTTTTTCTTTGTTGCAATTCTCTTGGCCATATAGTAGTGTTCATTTGATGTTGTTTTGACTTGTGACAGGTCAGCTGCCCCTGGGGTCTTCCTCTGTGGACGTTGTTTTTACTCTTTGTAAATCGATTGAATTTCCAAGTGAGCAGTTGTTAGGGGAAATCTCAAGGGTCTTGAAGCCTGGTGGATCAGTCCTAATTTACAAGACTTCTGATTCTTCCACAGGGGAAAGTGATAAGGTAATTCATGTTCACATTGTCACATTATGGATTCAGTTTGAAGTGAGAAATCTTACTTCGGTTTTCTTGCAGACCACCTCTGTTATTGAGCGCAAGTTACTATTGTCTGGTTTCCTAGAAGCACAAGCTCTTCAAGGGAAATCAAATTTACCATCTGAGTTGTCCTTTGGGGTAAGTTTCATTGTTACTAGTATCCTTTGGCATCATGTTGTAATTTTACTTCTCTCCTCTTTGCATGTTAAATTTATAACATGAATCTGAATTCAACTCATCTCAGACTTAATACTAACTGTTTGGGCTTGGCTACATGGAACCTTATCGGGATCTAATTGGGATCCTACATTTCTTGTGTACTTCAATCCAATCTAGGGTTATATTCTCTATTAAATGTCTTGCAGTCATGCCGTTCACAATCCCTTTTATCCATCTCATCAATCTTCCTTTATTTTAGATGCATCCAAGTTGTTTGTACTGGTGCACTTAAATTTTTATTTTTATTTTTATTTATTTTTATGGAGCACATGAACATACCATCTAAAAGTGTTCTCTCATTGTTGGTTGATAACGGATCTGATGAACATATCCAATAGCTTCTCTGATTTTGTTAGTTACTCTAGCATTTTTTCAGAATCTTTTTTTTTTTGGTCTACATAAAAGAAAAGAATCTATTCGTTCACGATAACTTTATCACTGGATATACTTTGTGGATGGATTTTTTTGTTGATAAATTCTGTAATTTGTATGATGTTTGTATATCATTGGATATGCTCTGTGATAGCTGTAGATTATTCAGCTGAGCTTTAATTTTTTTCTCTTCTCTTTCTGTAGGTCAAGGCTAAAAAACCTTCCTGGAAGATTGGTTCATCCTTTGCCTTAAAAAAGACCACCAAAAGTTTACCAAAAGTTCAGATCAATGATGATTCAGATCTGATTGATGAGGATAGTCTATTAACAGAGGAGGACTTAAAGAAACCCCAGCCGCTTCTAGGTAAGGCATCCTGGTTCTAAATTGTATGTTTGTCGACTTTGTGAGATTCTTTCGGGGTTAACTGCAATGTTTGTGATTTTTGTAACCATGCACTGAGCAATGTACTTGTGCAGCTGGTGATTGTGAAGTTGGAAGCACAAGGAAAGCTTGTAAAAATTGCACTTGTGGGAGGGCTGAAGAAGAGCAGAAAGTGGAGAAGTTAGGCTCGACAGTAGATTTGGACAATTTCAAGTCCCAATGTGGCAGTGTATGTCCTATAGTTTGCTTATCAATATGCTTTTTAAAGTGTGTTTGCTGTTTGTTCTGTTTTGTTTATTTTGCTCTGAAAGTTGCATTTTACAGTGCGGACTAGGTGATGCTTTTCGATGCGCTACATGTCCTTTTAAAGGTCTTCCTCCATTCAAACCAGGAGAGAAGGTATTTGTTGGATCACTAAATCAATCCCTTCCTCCTCCCTCGCCCCGCATTTTTAACTGCCATCTTTTTTCCAGGTATCTTTGTCAGCGAACTTCCTTGCAGCAGACATCTAAACTAGAACCACTCTCTTGTTTTGGGGGATGAGGTTTTCGGATAATTAAGAATGGTGCTACGTGGTGATGGGTTTCTCCACAACTTGGGTTAACTGCTCTCCAGATATTTGAGATTTTGGGTTGTACTTTTTCTGAATTGAAACGTAAAATATGGTTCAGTAGCTTGTACCTAATAAAGATGAAGTTCGTTTCTTGGATTTGCACTTATTACATTTGTCACATTTGTCTTAGTTACTCGAGATAACTAGTAGAAGCTTATTAAGATATAGGAGAGAGCGGGTGGTAATAGCAGTTTTGCCTATATAAAGATCTTGATCAAGGTCGACGGCAAACAGATGTAGGCTACTTTGGACCCTGCTAGGATTTGTTAACTTTTCCTGATTAGAATTTTTTCTGGAGCACCATTTTCGTTTACAGTTCTCGGATTGTGATATAATTTTGCTGTCAGCACCACTTCCTTTTGTTTTATGATCCAAACCTTCCAACTTTTTCCGCTTCGAACGACCCAAAAATAGTCATGTATATAACAAAATCATGCAAATTCTAAACGTGTTTAAATCCATCAAGGATCATTGTCAAACATAAGTAACGATACATATACTACTACCTGCATCAGTAGCATGTTGTTCAGCTAAGTATGTTAGGTATTAACCTGCTGAGAGAGAAGCACAAGCAGCCCTTGCGGACCAACCAATATCTCATTCAGGAAGCTAATCAATCCAAACCAGACCACAGGGGTTACATCCACACCGCCTAAAGGCGGTATCAACTTCCGGGTTGGGATGAGAAGTGGCTCTGTAGGGGCATAAGCTACAACATAAGGGAACTTCCCCACTGGAATTTTGGGGTACCAGGACATGACTATTCTTATGATAAACAGAAAAGAAAATAGTGAGAAAAAAGGGCCTAGAAATCCAATAGCAAGCTTTGCTGTAGCAGGGTCCAAATCTGCCAAAACCAGCTTGTGCATTAAATTTGAGAGAGTATGTGATGTGTCTGGCATACCAATTCCAAGAATGCTGGAAACTGCATCCGTAATATGCGATGGCTCCCCTGAAGGAGGTAAGTATAATGGTGATAATGCAATGCTAGGAGGAGAAGCTCCAACTTGGACCAAACATAAGGAACATTGTGCAATTAGGAGCCCTTGCTTTGGATGGCTTTTACTGGTTGTCTTGAAGCTTTCCTGAAAAGTTTTGGGAAGTTCAGATTACAAGACATTCAACATATAGGAACAGGCATCTTACAACAAACCCTGTAAAAACGAGGATGAGAATGGAGAAACAGAGCTGGGAACTTACAGTGACAGTGGGATTTGTATGCTTGGGTATCCTCATCCTCGAGGGCCATAGCCATCCTAGAACAAATTGGAAACCATGAAATGAAAATCTTCTCCCTAGGGCCTAACCAAAAGAAACAAAACCATTTCATTAACTTGGTACCTTTAATCTGGACATGGTTGAGAAGATAAGAACAGGTAGCCATAGAGTGCGGTCGGAGAAATTGAAGTACGAATGAACGAAGCGTTATCCTTTGAACGAGAGGTGGGGAAGTCCGCTTTTAAACATGTGACCGGCAACGGCTCTTCTCAGTTAAATTATAGTTTTATGAATTTCAGAAGAAAATAAATAATTAAAAAAATACCAGACCAGTCCAGTGGAGTTCGAGAAACTGTATGGAATGAATATTGAAATGAAACTTGTAATGCAATTGTAATATCGACTGTGTTCGTATGGATTGTTTTAGTATCTAATCTTTAATTCTCTCATTTCTTTATATATAATTTGGAAACTTACTTTGCTATTATTCTCTTGTAGTTACCCATCACATCAGTTATTCCCCGATTAGTAAATTCAAACGTAAAGAAAATACTAGAATCTAGTATTCTCATATTTGAGAAAACTCATTCATGTTTTATAGGGAAATCTCCTCAGTGCACCTGTAACAGGGTTATAAAAACGGTTGTAGAATGCAGTCATGAGATTTCACTGTTAGCAAGCAAATAAGGTAAATGCTTAATCGAATTATCAGAGGAAAAATAAAATTCATTGAAATCGCAATGGTCGCAACCACCATACTAGCAGGGAGAAAGTTTCGTGGTAGGGGGCAGGGCTCCCGCCTTACAATCACCTCTTCCATGATGGGTAGCTACGATAGAAAGGCGTATACGACCACCCTGCCCCAAAATTTTTGCTTACTATGATAGCTCAATCAAGCTTTCCTAAAAAAGAATATATAACAAATAAATGAAAGGAAGAGGAAAGAAATAATAGACCTCATTATCCTTTACATGCTACTTCTACTTCTTGTGTCTCTGTGTCTTCTTTCGGAAACTTGGCAAAAATCTTGAGAGAGAGCAGTGGGGCAAATATATTGAGAAAGAATACGGGCATCCAAAGAACTGCACAAGGTTTTGGCAATCCTTCTCTCCAACTCCATCGTTTAAATGATTCAAGTAGGTCTTTCCCTCGTAAATAAAACAGAGTTGCTGCCACAGAAGTATGCTCAACCCTATCCCCAATGAAACACTTGAAACAAACAGATACACCAAAACAAGCCCTCTGGGGGATAAAAGCACTACAGATTTTAGCAAACCATATACAATCTCACGGATAGCTCTCAGAGCAAAATCACTGCCAAACCCATATGAGTGGTCGAAGGGTTCATATGTTATGGATGGCCAGATATGCCAACATACATACACAGTCATGATAGAAATATAGAATGTACTGGTGACAACTGAAATGAGTAAGGCAATGAAGTGTCGGTGGTTAGCTGCACCAACACAATTCCCAATCTGCATCAAAATTATGCAGCAACAATTCATTAATGTTAGAATGCAAGTCATGAGCTCAAAATCCAAACCATACTTTGTAGACACACAGCAGGTATGCACATATACTGAAGGACTTTTAGATACCCAAAAAAGAAAAAAGAAAAACAAGGAACAAATTTGTCAGAATCTACAATAAAACCTTTTCCTTTTACATATTTATTTCTTGCAACAAGGATTTCATTTTATAAACATTAATGTATCCATAGTTAAACAAACTCTAAGAATTAAATTTCAACAAGGGTCCTAATTTAGCGGAACTAAATTTCAACTTCAAACAAAGTTTCCATATGAGCATAACAAAATTGTGAAACATTGTTTTTATCAAGCTACCTTGGAATTTCCATTAACTTATAGATTCTTTAATCCCTGCAGAAGTAGGTGTTTTACCTCTGAGTAACATATTGTTCATCAAAGCCACTGATGTCACTAGTTTTCCTAGCTTTAATGGTGATTGGAAATTTATATTTCCACTCTCCTGTAACTGGTGGCATTAGGGCTATATCCAGAAGCCCTCTAGGAGTTCAAAAAAGTCACAAGGAGATGGATGACTCAAAACTCCGCAAAATTACTTTCTTCTTTACCTCTTGTTACTGTTTTATTTTCTTCAATAGCATATATAATTGTTCTTAACATTCTATCCTCAGTATCTTAAGCCTTCATACTGAAAATCTACAGCAAATAAAAACAAAAACCACAGCTTCCAGTTGAAATTTTCTTTTTCCATTGAGCTTCACTTTCGACTCGCTTCCCCAAGCTACCAAGAATTATCAAATGGTTAGAACTTAGGTAATTAACGGCTAATGCATTTACAATAGACAGCAAGATATTCTGTAAAAAAAATTGTCTATTACGACATATTTATGCATTGAGAAGAAGATGTCAACACTTACAAATGGGCAGTGATGATCCATGTCCAAAATACACATTCCACAGGATCGGCAATGATGACTTCTAGGTGACTTTGGCTTTGAGCAGAGCTGACAGAAGGTATAATTCTCAAGGGCACCTTTCCCCACAGCTGGATAGCTACCCCACACTACGCATGGGGGTGTTCCAGCACATGCAAACGAAGCAGAACTGAATGTATAAACAGTAGTTACAGACAAGATGAAGGCAATGATGGAGTGAAAAATTCCATGGAAATAGCTGATAGAGAAAAGAACAGGGAATGCTGCCCACACTCCACCACCTGCAATTTCAACATTTGCATCAACTCCTCATTTCCACCTTCACTTTTTGAAGTTAATGTACACCTTCTTCATCGTATTTTGTGGAAAAAATTTAACCATTTTTCATATATCAATTAAAATTTTGCCTACAGAAGATAATATGGAAAGTGAAACTATGATGCCTATGCCTGATTATGGACAAAAAATATGTCAATACCTACATAAGCAAAAAATAAGCAAAATGGAGAAAGATTCTAATACAACTATAAGAGCTACAACTACGTACATATCACAAAGAGCATAAACATGAGGAGAATGCAGACAAAGCACCGATCCCGCAAGCGTCTCAACCAAAAGTACTTGCATTCTCGTTTCCCTGCATTCTGATTTGTTAAAGCTCCACACCAACCACATTTGAAAACTGGAGCATGTGATGGAAGAAGGAGGTGCAGTCCACAACCCCAACACGTGACATCATAGTCCTCCGTGACGGATGCTATAAAATGCTCCTACATGTAACCCTCCAGTAAGCAACAAAAGAAACTACACAAAATTTGCGGACATAGAATAGGAACTTTATTTGATACATCCTTGTGGAAATAATAATGTAATCAATGTGATATAATAAAGGCTTGGTTATCACAAAATAAGGCAGTGGTAAGATCCATCACAGGTGTTTAAAGCAGGTAAAATATTAAAAGTGCATGTTCCAGCTCTTTATCAATATATTTGTAATCTGATATCCAAATGTATCCTTAGGATGCTAGTTTTATTGAAAACCAAATAATCTAACAGAATTTATTACTTGCAATATGAATATTAAACATTAACTGATAAAAGTACATTTTAAAAAAAATTGACAAAGGTAAAAGAGCCCAAACAAAAAATAAACAAATTAAAAAGAAGAGAAAGCAATCGAACGTAACCCAGGTAGGTAAGCAATTGTACTCGGTCAATAAAAGTTAAGAGATAAACATGAAGAACAGCTACAGAAGAATGCAACATAAACCACGCAAGCAATTGGGCTTGGTCTATTATCAGATTATTACATTAATTCTGACTCAGTTTCACACACGATATCTTCCCTGATGAACTGGAACAAAACCAAAAACAAGAACAACAAGATTACATAAAACCCAAACGTTTAAACACCACCTACGCCCGCCCATAAAACAATCGAGAAAACATAACAAGAAGCCAACAGCCAATGATAGCAAACAGAAAACGAGGGTACCTTGGGCAAGTCAGCCATAATTGGAGTTGCCTTTGGAGCAACTTCAAAGGATTCAGAGATTAGTGATGTCATGTCATTGCAGTTGAAGAGTATCCCAATTCTGCAAGGTCTTCTTCATCGACAGAGTTTCCAAGACAAATTGGGAAGATGGAACTTTCATCATCTTCTTGTCCATATAGGGTGAGTTTGATTGGATCCAAATTACAACCCAACCAGGAGACCACCCAATCAGCAACTTGGACTCAAATTTTGAAACTTTTTCCTTTTTGGGTCAGATTTTAAAACTTGGGTCGGGCGATATCATCACGGCCCAAAATAATTTATTTCTCAATTGTAGGTAGTACAATACAGAGGTTTCCTAAATGTGGCACCGATCTGAGCATTTCATAACACATGACATCTCTCTTAAGTTGGTTATTTAGTTATTTTATAGGCATAAGCATAATCAAATACAAGTCTCACATAGAAGTGATATTACAAACAAAAAGTATAAATTAACCCCGAAAAAATGGTTATCACACGTATCCGCGTGCGGGTGCGCACAACCTTATTTGTGGTCTAGTATATTTATCTGAATACAAATATTATAGTTGAGAAGCTTTGCTTTCATTTGCGCTTCAGAGCAAGAAACAACTGAGTTCCTTGCCTGTGGCTGGACTCTAGTTGGTTGATAAGTTGGCCACTTTTATCATTGAGCCTATCAAACACTTGATTAACAATGTCACTTCCAAAATGAGTTTTGAAAACTCCCTCCATGCCAGCTCTTAGCTCCCTCGCCAGTCTCTGCTGCGTGTTGTTTACTGTGTGACCAACTTTTAACCAGGGGCTTGTTGACTCCATTTTCACTATGCTAAAGCTTCCATTTCTTTCCACCAGCTCTGCCATCTCATTTGGAGTCGTAGTGTACACTGGAATGTTGAATGCGTCCACCTCTTCTTCACTTATCAAACCCTATAAATTAAAACCCAAGAAACAAAACAAACAAAAAACTATAAGCTATAAGTCTCTTTCTGAGTTAATCTGAGTTTTGTTATTAACTTACTTCCTTTGCAATCTCCATGAGAATAGACCCCAGAAAATCAAACATGATGCCAGTTGGAATGCGAGACTGATGGATCCCATCTGGGATGGTTTGCATAATTAGCACCATCATTCCACCAGCCACAAGCTCTTTAGCCCGAGCTTCCAAGAATATTGCCATGTCCGTACGAAATTGGGCTGCGAAAGCATTAGATACTTGGTCAGGGGAAGTTGTATAGTAAATCTTGCCCTTGTTCCATGCCGGAGAGTTCTTGTTTGTGACTTCTTCTGGTAGCTTAGAGAGCCAGTGAGTTGCATATGAAGAGTGCGCGAAATGGATAGAGGCCTCGGGGAATAGCCGGCCATGGAAAGACCCCGGCACACCAGCTGCAAAGTAGTGCCTTTCCGGAGGCAAAGTGGCAAACAGGGTATTGAAATCATTGGCTGCGTGGTCATTAAAGAACACATGGAAGTCAGGCATGTGGGATCCGTACTTTTGTTTCACCGCTTCCATTATGTTTTGGACGCAAGCGAAAGTGTTTGGTCCAACTGAGCATCCCAAATCCGCTATGCGAAATGCATTGCTTGAAGCAGAAGAAAAATCTTCTATGTCAAGTTTCTCTGCTATTGCCTCATCAATTAGAGTCTTTGCAACATTTGCAGCTGCTCTCTGCACAATAGTTCAAGTATATATCTGTTATTATTAAGCCCCCTCCCTTAACTTGACAACTATGTACTTGAACTAATATAACCAAGGAGAAGTCAAAAGAGAGCAAGACACAATTTTTACAAAACAAAAACAGGAAAGAGAGAAAAAGATATCTAAAACCAATAACAAGATCATAGTTGGTTTTCTGGGCTGTAATACCATGATGAAGTGGAAAAATGAGAGAGACGACGCACATAATTAACCCAAGTAGGTAGAATTGAAAGAACCTGGTAAGAAGAGTTTTTGGTGTAGCTGTAAATGCCATCTCCACCGTTCATTGGATATGCTTCCGGCACTGAGGTTGCATTGTTGTTGCTCATCTTCAACTCTCTCTCTCTCTCTCTCTCTCTCTCTCATGTGCCATATATATATATATATATATATATATATGCATGAAAAATGATTTCCACAATTCAATCATCTTTCTGGGTCACTTTGTTTGACTGAAGTTGTACCTTTAAGACATATATATATATATATATATATTCAACTGCGGCATCTCTATTAGTAGAATTGTCATAGCCAAAACACGTCAGGTATAACGTAAATACAGATAGAAATGGAAAAATAAATAAGGGAGAAGTCAATAAAAATGTTGTCCCCAGCCAAGCCAAGCCCAAATTGTTTATAGTTTATTACTTTGTAGTCCCTGAAAACATTAAAAATATTCGAAATCTGTAAACAAAAAAGAACTGACAGATATCTTATACGTTATTATTTTCCTTCCTTAGAAGTTGTAAAAAAGTAAATTAAATTAAATAAAAAAGTTGTTTACCTCAATATTGGATGTACCAGAAGGGCTGAAAATGTTTTTTTCAAACAATTTCCGCATTTTATTCTGTTGGAGCTTGCGAATTAAACGACGGCGGCATTCACACCAAACAAAAAGTGAGTATCGAGTCAAAAATGAGCCAAAACTTAAAAACAGAAGATCGATTAAATTCTCATGAGGGTTACATCCAAGTCAAGCCAAGCCTTTAACTCGAATTAGCAATGAAATGAATTAGAAATGCTGATAATATTTACAATTTTCGGCACAAAACAAAGCAAAATCCATATTACCGATATTACAAAGTTACAAACATATCACATGGTGTTGTATTGTATGCGATACTCCAAAAGCTCTATCATGTCAATATCAAAAATAGTCAACCCAATGGCCAATCTAAATGCTTCAGGCCATCATCACTTAAATTCCAAGCTCCTTCGGCAATCTCATCGAAGAGTTGGTCCCATCCCCAACTTGAATACCCGAAGAAAAACCAGTAGTCACTGACAGATTGATTTCCTGACTTGAGCTCTTTGATTTTTTGAATTGTTGCTAATTGATCGAGAAAGAAAACACCCTGTAGGACTTCCGGATATTCGGTCTTGACAAATCTTCGAGTTAATGCCACAAGAGGCATTCCACCCTTTATAAGTGGTCCTCCAAAGGACAGAGGGGCCTCTGCTAACATCTCAAGCCCTTGTTCCAATTCATTTAGAGCATCCCATCTGATATGCTTGTTAATAATCAGACCTTGAAATCCAGAAACTTGATCTGCCTTGACAATAAGAATCTCTGATTTATCAAAGGGATGTACAGTAAGTTTATCAGTAGCAACTAAAATGGAACCGGTCACCACACGCAGGGCTGCTTCATTGAAACCTTGTGATGTGCGAGACTTGGCCTGATCATCTCTAATGACTTGTTTATGCGTCGTTGTTAATAGTACTTCATGAAGTGTGTCCTTTTCAATAGGACCTTCCTCATGCATATCAGATAACTGGACCTTAAAGAAATTTTGATTCCTTCCCCATTTTGTAGCTAAAGTCCATAAGATTCCTACAAAACCATCAAACAAGCAGACAACTTGAGCAAGGAAGAAGTTCATGCCACCAGAACTGCACGCCTTCAAAGAAAAGAAAAAAAACTACAACTCTTCCAATCCCAAAACAAGATTCTTCCTAATGAACCATAGGCATTAGTCACACATCAAATAGAATTACCCTTCTCACTGATAAGATGATGAGAGTTACTTCCATGATCAGCCATAAACTTGAAAATTTCAGTGACCGCCATATCCCCTTCATAAGGGAGAACATTCTTCTTTTCTGCTGGAAAGAGCACCAGAGCAGGATAAACTTCCCTCTGTTTTTTTTTTCCAACAAAAAACCAAATGATCAGAAAGAGGACAAAACTGCCTCCTATTTCAGAACAATTCAAAAAAATTGTTGTTGTTCAGTAGTTTACAGAACAATAAGCTACTCAGAAATGTCATCAATGGAAAACATGACATTACAAATATAATTTTAAAAGCCACCTAGGTTGATGAGAAGAATAGATAGACACGTATTTACAATATTTTTAATTTATACCAGGAGATATTTTTGGGCATTCCACAAGACAAGACACACCTGATTCATTGATTTCAGTATCAAACTGCAATCATTCAATGTGCAATCCAGCAAGTATATAAATGGAAGCTTCAGCATTTCATCCTTCAAGTCACCTGTCAGATGTAGTTGTTCATGTGAATATTTGAACTATAAGACCAAAAATGATTAAACATGGAAATTACCATTTTATGTTCTTGAACAAAAAAAATGAATAATTATAGAAAATAAGTTTTGTACAGATATAAAATCCCACTAAAATAACACTTAGATATCTTTTAATATTTCCTCCCTAAAGAATAAGTAAATCGACAGTGGACAGCATTTGAGCCCATATTTATAAGATTATTAGGATATGCAAATTAATACTTAACAGGAACCCCGTGGGACGAGAATAACAACTAGGGCCAAGAGAACAAACACTTTACTGAGCACCTATCACTGACAAAAAGTACTTACCATCGTGAAACATTGTTTTCTCATTCTTTGATCCACTTTTCAGCATCTTAACATAATCCTTCATAGCCCGGTATACTTCACGAACAACTAATTCCATTCTCTGGCAAAACCCACACCATCTATTGCTAAAAAGGACCAAAACATCCTTATTCCAAGCATCAGTGTCAGATTGATTAAACCCAATAACCAGCTCAGAGAAAGTACGACTTGTCACTTGAGGGATAGTATCCACCTGATGAAAATCCAGATTAACAAATGGTGGTTGAGTGGCCTCCCTAGATCTATGAAGAACAGATTCAGACTGTTGATATGGAAGAAGACTTCCATTAACAAACTCAGCAAGAAAATCAGCCAGTGAAGAATAGCTGAGATTTGTCTCCTCTGACAATACATGATGCTGCGCAGCAATCGGATCAACTATCACCAAAGCTGGAACTTTTGACCCACCAGTCAGAGCATGAAGTAATCGATCATTACCGTCAGAAAAGAAAAAAGAACCCTTGAAACCTTGAAAGTGAAGCTGTTGCTCCCCTGACTTATCTACCTGTGAAGAGATTTCTTCTTCTACCTTTAAATCTTCAGCAGCATCAAGTTTATG